GTCTTCTTTTAACTTCACTGGATCTTCGACAGACAAGAAATTACATCTCTGGTATATGTGGAATGATCTTAAGTAGAATATACGGGTAAAAAATAAAGAGTCATAGCTGCCTCTCCGACGACACGGCTGACTCAAGAATTTAAAAGGAAATCACCTGATTCTATTTATAGATATACCTATTCAATTCAAGATCAAACTATGTAATATGATTTGAGGACGAGTGTTATATTTTCGTAGTTGCAAGTATGTCAAGTGACAATCATTTAATTTGTTCAATACTGAAATTCTGAGACAAAAGATTTATAAAATCAATAAAAATAAAACAAGTAGCTATGAATTTGCAAACTTTAATAAAATAGCTTAGGACTGTTTTTCCCGAGATACTTTTAAAGTGTAATGTGTATATTATGACTTTCTGAAATTATGTATATCATAAAACGTAATAAAGAAAACGTAGAAAAGATACACAAAGAAAAACAAATTTAAGAAAGCATAAATGGAAAAATGTGGGACTCGAACTCGGTATCACCATATTTACATTCCAGCAATCATACCGCTGTGCCAACGAAGTCAATGACGTTGAATAAATAAATTTAAGACAGATTGCTAAATCTTACGATTATATGAGAAGAAAAATTGAATATATATTGTCGTCATTTTCAATATGAAGACCACCTTTAACCAAAATTAGAAGCGCAGTCATTTCCAAATAAAATCATTCAAAAGTTGTTTGTTTTTGTTTTTTTTTTTTTTTTTTGGTTATGGGTAGTCTTTGGCAACTGAGTTTGTCATCTTTAGGTGGATACCTCAATATTTACTATATACTCCATACAAACTGGATAATTTTCATATTTATCATATGAGGAAACTATTAATATTGAAATATCATTATTGTGTGGTATGGTTTTACGCATGTATAAACTAAGATTGTATGACAACATTTTGGTTAAACGATGAATATAAGAAATCACTACTAGAGTAGGCGAAAATGCCTATCAAATGCGCTGTGGCTCTTTTACAAGGTGAAATATGAGCCTTTGTTTTTATATGGCTTTGCATAATATTAACGGCAATGTCTACAATATGTAGATGCAGATGCAACACGCCTAGATTGTGTGTTATAAAATCTAAAAATATATTAAACATCAACCGTGCACTTGTATAAATGACTGAAAATACAAGACTTCAGAATATTAATTAATCTGATCAGTCCTGACCAACAGCATCCAAAAGATTGGGAATTTATCCCCCCCCCCTTTCCAAAAAAAAAATAAGTTGCAAGGGGACCTATTGTGACGTCATCTTTAAGAAATAAATAACAAGTTTAAAAACTTCAATGGGAATTGAAGTGGGGCGGTCACGTGATCAAATCCTGTGAAGGCCGAAGGCCTTCTCAGAAGATTTGATCACGTACCGACCCACTTCAATTCCCATTGAAGTTTTTAAACTTGTTATTTATTACTTATATATACATTTGAGACGGACAATCGAATGTAATCGAATATAAATATTGCACTAACTGTACGTCGTAGATTTTGACAAATTACGCTAGGTGTAAATCGGCTTGAAAAGCGGTTACGCTTCAAATTCATCTGACAAAGGATTGTTTTGAAGGGAATGTTCTGTGAAAGGCTACTTGTGATCAATTATAGTGAGCATATTGGTGTCTGGGAAGTTTTGTATTCATTAGAACCCATATTCGATGTTAAAAAACACAAGAAACACGTCCGATGTTTGATACTAAAAAGTTGGAGGAATTTCGGTTGGAAAGGGATGGATGGAGACACTTGTCCAGACCAGATAACTTGAAATCAAGTACAAAATTTGATCAAAAACATAAAATCTACAGTAAGGCATATTTATTAATTTATGATGTTGACATGGAGACACTGGCGACAGCTTAAATTGTTACATGTAAGACAACGATCTCGATGATGGAGGTGTGTCTACCGAACTTCCAAAGTGCAGTGTTTGTCAGCTGTTTGTGGCGTGATTGCGTTACATTGATATTTTTCAACAGATTTTCAAATTTATTGTGAGTAAAGTTTAATGAAAAAAAATTATAGCATTCAGAGGTCTGCGAGAAAAATAAGGGTAAACGTTGAGACTATGCAGCTCAGACATGAAACTTATAACACGTAGTTTTCTATTCTCTATGTAAAATCGATCAAGAACTGTATTAAATACTCGTTTACATTGTAAATAAAATGATTATTATTTTACTTGCGTATTTTGTACATTTTTTTGCATGAAAAACTTGCTATATTGCTTAGTGGAGTAAGTCTTTTTAATGTAGATATTACTGCGCTGTGTGATTAAGTCACGTAATGACCTATGACCTTCGAAAAACTTCATACAGGTATGAAGATATTTGCTCTCTGCATGTTTATATAATAGAGAGATACCACAAATGTATATATTTGAGTTTATTGCGTAATTTATTTACATACATGCAGACGTCAACTATGCCGTTTCAGTAGCAAGATAAAATAAAGGCTAGGATTTAAGCATTTTCTTTTCTGCAATAATACTTTTAGTGATTTCATTTGTCAGCTGAACATTTTTATTTTATTGCTTTAGTATATTAAATTGATCTCTTACCTTCTTGCTGGCAACATTTATCGAGTGTAAGGCTTAGTTGTATAAAAAAAATATCGTTTCTATAAAACATTTTTTGTAGTTTTTATGCTATTTTCATGACAAATATATTTGTATGAGCAATATAACTATGGTCATTCAATGATAAATTTAGTTCTTTAACATTATTACACGAAATACACCATTATTATTGCTCCTAGATAAGAACTCGCCTCTCGACTAACTTGGTATCCGCCAACGGAAATAGTCATGAAATGTCAAAATTAACATACTGCACATTCCTCGAGCAAATTCTTACCATTATTTTTGCTTGTCTTTTATCAAATTATTTTCAAATATATATGTTTTATTTTGCTCGAGGGGTGTGTACTACTTCAATTTTGGGAATTGGTTGTAAAAATAGTGGAAAAAATAGCAATTTCCGGAAAGAACGGATGTTTAAATCCTGTGAATACCTCTAATCAACGTACTTGCGAAATTTTGTTATGCATATATCAAAACTACGAATCTTCTTCTACATGTACATAGTAGTTATATTTTTTCAAACGTGTATATAAAAATACGAAAAATTGTGGGCCTTCGAATAATACATAACGTACTTAGTTCTTTGATTAAACTTTCATAGAATCTTTGTTACATATAGTGCCATTATGTACCTCCTATTTTACTTTTTGATCCAACACATATTTCGGGTTTCCAGTAGCAACCATAGAAACTGCCATTCTTTCTATAATATTGAGAGGTACCCATCTCTTATCAGCAAATCCTCCTTCACCTCTGAATTAAATTTTATGATACTTTCACAGAATCTTTATTACATATTGCCATTGTTCACCTCTTCTTTTATTTTTTGATCTGACACTTATTTCGGGTCTCCCACAGCAAAACATTGATTTTACCATTGTAATCATATGGGTGGCCGAGGGTATCATTTTGTGAGCTCAGTGCTCACAATGCCTCTAGTTCTAATAAAAGAATATTTTTGCAAAGAAAATTTTCCTTAGAAATGTTTTGTCTTAATTTTATAAATTTCAATACTAACTTTACCTTCAGTACTAAATTCAAAAATTGAATATGATTTTTATATATGTGAAGCTATCGGCCCACTCCACATCTTGTTCTCCTTTCTTCCTAAAATCTTAAAAGTTGGAATGCATCATTTGATTGAAAATTCAATAAAAGTTCTAACAATTTTATTTTTGGAAATCAACAATTAAACAGTTCAAATAACTGACAGGAGTATGTTCTTTGTAAGATTTTATCAACAAAAATGTTCTTAAAAGAATTCTAAAAATTCAAGAAATGTATATTATTATAACGTTCCTTGGCAACGTTTCGAACAATTGGTAGTTTACACTGATACAATATAAAATAATTAAATTTTACAATATTTAGGAAATCGAAAACAATCTTCGCACATGTATTATTCGCTCAATTTCGCTAAACTACTGTTACACATTATCAAATTTAAACAGGCCGTGTTTTTCCAAAGTGTTTTAATATTTCATTGAAATCATTAATAACATATTCAATTATTGAATTGTACGCCAAAGCATTGTCAAGAAATACATGTACGAATTATATTGTGCCTTTGTCAGGACATTTCCAACAAGTTTTAAATCCAAATATTAATTTTCCGTGGCAAATATTTAAATAAAATTGAATCATAAAGAGAAAAAAATATCGAACATACACACATAATGAGAGAGAGAACCAGAGAGAGAGAAAGAGAGAGAGATTAAAAACATGCGAAACCAACAATGATGTTTTGAATTTTAATTGTTTATCAAGTTGTAAATTTACAAATAAAGCCATTAAAACACATATGTTTTAATTAATCAAAATGAAATAATTTTATACAACATCAAATAAAAACTGATGAAAATAAAAAAAAAAATTGATAACTCATTTGACGTAAAAAGGACGTGAACAGGTTAAAGATTTACTAAATGTAGCAGATAGAATACAAACATCAAAAAAGATCGCTTTCAACGGAAAGGAAAATCATTCACACACACACACACACCTTCACACACAAACACACACAGGAAGAGAGAGGGGGTGCTAAATAAGGGTAGTTTTAATACACTGGGTCAGATTATCTGAGCTTTTAAAATAAAAAAGTCAGTACAAACAAAAATTAATAAAGTTAACATTATCAATATGCAAAGGAAAATCAAGGGTCAATTTTGGTAGGGAAAGGAGGTATTATAATACATCCACACATCTTGTTTTATGTGGGAGGTTTTTCGGATTACATGCACACATGATTTTAAAAGATCTGCAGAATGTTATGGAATGTTATCTTTCGTTTCACACTCCATTAAAGAAGAAAGGACAAGATTTTCTTTAATGTCTACATGAGTGTAGAAGCAATCACAACCACACATTTACGAAGAATGCTGTTACGTAAACGAAGAATATCTAATAATAAATGTCTCTTTCAGGACTTTTGCCTTCTGCGTCTGAAATAAAAAAAAAAAAATATCATTAGGGTAACAAGAGCGAAATCGTATTTGTGACGGGATCTTTTGTAGTTGTTCCATAAACGTTCCCCTTCTCTATAGTTGTACCCAATTATATTTATCACAAGCATCTTTCATTTTCTTATGACATTCTTAATATTGTTAACCAACTATTGTTCGTGTCATCTTTTATTCGCGATTCGTCAGTTTGAAATAAGTCTGCCACGATTAATTTTTTGCGACTGAGGAAACATTCTTTAAAGATACAAAGCAAAATAAGTGGTTCGCGGCGATTAATATTCGCAAGTTTTAAAAAAAAAGGTTGCAAAACTCGCAGTTATTTCTCGAATAAAAGTTGTTTTACAGTATATAATTATGTTACCTATACGAAATTTGCAAATATATTGCCTTTTCATTTATTTATTATTCTGTATTTTTCCTGCGTACTTTTTGGACTGTGATCTCGGAAAGTATTCATATTGAGTTGATACCTTTTATTGTTATTATTAATAGGTATATTAGGCAGAACAAAGGTCATTTTGCACCCATGAACCCACGGCCGATGAATGAAACGACCTATGTATTTTGATATGTTTGATGAAATGCGTTGTAACAAGAAGACATGGTCACATTAACATGATCTCATGAACATAAACATATGCTTCTCTCTGATTTGTTGTTTCTTGTTTCTTTGACAATTCTTTTGAAATTCAAAATAAAGGTAGATATTATAAGGTTCTAATATATTATATATAACATTTCTTGAAAACACACATGCACATGTGTTGATTTTTTTTTTACTGAGACCTAGAATTGCTATTAGTTCTTTAATTTTCAAAACAGAATGAAAGTTATAATATAGAAAAATTATAAAATCTTCCTCTGTTATGTTACTATCAAAATTGAATGCAGGGCCATACATGCACGTGTGCTGAATGATGTTTGAATCTCACTTTGTAAGCAGTATTTTACTAACTATAGAATACAAGAGGCCCAAGGGCCTTTACGGTCACCTTAGTGCAACATTGTAAATGTTCATGGAAGTGTAAAATAAACTAATAGATGAAGATAGGTTGACTTAAGGCAAGAGAAATGGGATAATCAAGGATCAGCAAAATAGTTTTATTACTATTTATTACAGGGGCAGAGAAGAAGATTTTCAAAGAAATAATGCATTTTCACTATAGAAGCAATACCTCCCTACCCTAACACCAAAACCCATAACCCTAGGGCCATGAATTTCACAAGAGCCACCCTTGCTTATCATAAACATACACTTAGTTAATCTTTTTGGATAATGAAATTCACAAGTTTGTTAGACGGACTCTCTCATCATAAATTTTCACTAAGTTTGTTTGCTTAATACCTAGAGGCATAGAAGATTGTCTAATTATGCATTTTCACTATGCAATAAGTAGAGCAACGCCAAAAAGTGAATGCATAGGTATATACTATAAGGCACTATAAGAATTTTGTTTTACTTTTTTCTTTTGAAAAATAATACGCGTGAAGGCATGTAAATGAAAGCCATCCATAATTCCCATGCATTTGCTACATCCTGCTATAAGGACGAAACACATAACATATGTATCACACATATTTCATTATAGAAAAAAAAGAGTTACAGACATGAGAGCATTAACCTGTGGTAATTCTGCAACCATGTTTGCAGGTCTTTGTATTCATTTTCGATGATGCTATAATGAAGAACTTTGTAATATTTTCTTATATTCTACATTTTGCCTTGTTTCTTTAAAAAATAGAAATTTCAAGCTTGCTTTGTTTTAATCCCAGTAGATTTAAGCGTACGTGCAGGTTCATTTTTTTTTTAAAGATTTCTCGTATTTGTTTCCTTAATACATTGTCACACAATAAATGCTTATGTGTTACATTTTCTAATTTTAAACTGAATTGTTTACAGCTTTTGGGAGTTAAGCAATCAGAATTCAAGACACCTGCATTCTTGTCATGTATTTTTTTTTCATGGCTTAACTAATGTTTCCATACTACTTTCTACTAAGGATTACTCCATTTATCTGATAAATGCCTGTTTTGCGGTGTATTTGATTTACTAAGCACCTGATCCCACCTCTGGTATATCCAGGGGGTCTAGGGTTCTACCCTGTTTACAATTTGAATTGAACATAGAAATCGTTTAAATTTTATCAAGTTTCAAAGCATTTCACACGAAATAAAAATTAATCGATTGCCTTCACCTACAAACTGACTGTTAACCTTTAAAATTTCAATATAAACAGATGACTAGTATCACACAAAAAGTCGAGAGAATACGGAAGAAACAAAGTAATCTAATGCCTTCACAAACTTCGTTCTGGGAACATAAATAAAATTTTCATGTTAATGATGTTATGTTCTGGGTTCATCATAATAACGAGGACTTCAATACGAGCCATGCTGTTTTATCCCCGTGACGTCACAACAACCCTACATTAGATCGTACATAGAATGTTTCTTAAACTCTCAGATGTACATTATCATATAACAGATTATCCTACATAACCCTTTTCTTGAGATATTACAATTACAATATAGAGCAGTGAATAATATTGAAGTTCATATTTAAACAAACATAGTCGCATTTTTTTATAACAAACAAAACTATGACTAGAAATTACTGACTAGAAAAAAAACAAAGTCATAAGTTCAGTCTTTCAACCGGCTTGGACACTACCAGATCTGGTGATGCGCGAACCTTTTTCATCGACGCGCACACGTTTGTCATTCACAGAATTGGTCGCTGTTAGGTCTTGGCTTGTGCACAACACTTTTTCATCACATACATTATCACGCAAAGGATTTTTAGCACTGCGAATATTATTATCTTGATCCAATGTGTCAATGGCGAACACTTCATCCTTTAACATATCGGTTGGTTCCTAGTGTCGTGATTTCTGCGAATTGATGCGTCGGATGTTTCAATTATAAACATATATAACACTTCATCCTTTAACATATCGGTTGGTTCCTAGTGTCGTGATTTCTGCGAATTGATGCGTCGGATGTTTCAATTATATACATATATAAGAACGATCGCTTTGTTCTATGTTGGATACAACTGTCCCAGTTGTTCCTCCTCCTTCTCCCTTCTCCTAGACGGTTTCTTCAGCATTCAACAGAGATAACGGTCTTGCTCTCTTTGCTTTGCTGAAGTTAAGTTTTTTGGTTCAGACGATATTCTTCTTCTGCTTGACGTACTTTTTCCAAGTCTGGCCATTTTGAGTAGCAGTTTCTCAGAATTTTCCGGTAATGTTGTCCGAAGTTTTCTCCCCATTAAATTTCATCTGGGCTGCTTCCATTCTTTAACGGTGTTGCTCTATATGCAAGTAATGTGAGGTAGGGGTCAGTTGCTTTTCTTTTTAAACGTTTTACGGTCTGTACGGCATGTTCGGCCTCTCCGTTTCCTTGTGGATAGTGAAGGATACTGGCTCGATGTCGAAATCCATAATTCTTGGAGAAAGTCTGAAAGATTAGCTAGAATACTGTGGTCCATTGTTAGACACCAGTGTATCCGGTACACCAAGTCTAGCGAAAATCGACTTCAAATGATTTACGATTGACTGTGAAGTAGTGCATTTCAACTTTGCGGGAGAAATAGTCAACGACAAGTAAATAGTTGTCATTTTTCAGATGGAATAAGTTTGTTGCTAACATCCCCCATGGTCTGTCTAGGAATTTAGTTGGTCGTAAAGGGTTAAGTCTGAATCTGTCTGTTTTTCACACAGTTTCATTATTTATCCCTGGCCCCCAAATTGAATTCCTCACCCGTTCCCGACATTTCAGTATCCCTTAATGTTCTTTATGGATTCTTTGCAACATGTCAGCTCTAAGTACTGTAGGAATAACAAGTTGGTCCCCTCTCATGAGTAAACCTTGACAGAATGAAAGTTCCTCTGTTATCTGCCAAAAGGGAGGAGTGACAAGGTCAATTGATGGATACTCATAATCTGGCCAACCCTCCCCACAGTACTTCATGATAATTCTCAGAACACTGTCCTCATGCAGTTTTCTCCGAATTTATTCTAGGAGTGACTCACTCGCTGGAAGAGTTTCAATGATGCTGTCTACATACGCTTGTACCACTGTCTCCTCTTCTTTTGCAGTTTCTCGCTTCGATGATCTAAAAAGTGCATCAGCTTTGTACAGTGTTTTACCAGGGACATGGTGTATTTCACACTCATATCACATAAGTCACACACGGAAACGTTGAACTCTTGGTGGTTAATCACAAATAGCTCTTGACCCTAGAAGTGATATGAGGATTTTGCGGTCTGTCTCTATCCTGAATTTCATACCAATCAAGAAATCTGAGAATTTTTCAAAGGCCCATGTAACTGCCAGTGGTTCTTTTTCAACTTGTGCATATCGTTGTTCAGTTTGGCTCATAGATCTTGACGCAAAGGCAGTTGGTTTCCAATGGTCTGCATTGTTGTCTGTCACTTGTAGGAGTACAGTTCCAAGACCACAGGAAGACGCACCTGCAGACACCTTTGTTGGTGCTTTAGGCTCCTGCGAGTCTGTTGAGGGTCTCCTCTGTGCTTGGTATTTGAAAGTTTTCCCTTCTTACCCACTTGTTGAGTTGTATCAAGTCGATACAAAGTCTAACACAGTTGTTTTTCTTTGGTATCACAACAAGACCCTGAACACCAGTCTATTAACTCATCTACAGGTCAGATAACTCCTAAGCCCTCCATTCCGCGCAGCTCGGCTTTGACTTTCTCTAGGTAGGGTAAGGCCACCCTCCTCAGCGTTGTGACTGCGTACGGTTGCACGTCCTCTTTTAGCTTTATCTCGTACTCCCCCTGTAGTTTTCCAAATAATTTAAAGAGTGAAGGAATTTCGCTTGTAATCAGAGTGCAGCTGCAGGCTTGCAATCTGTTTGACAATTTCTAGTTTCTCAATGGCTGGTCTATCAAGAAGTGATTTGTTGAGGCCTCGAATGACGTATACATTTTGATGTGCTTTGCGGTTTTCTAGAGAAAATTCACAGCAAAACTTTCCAATCATATTTAAAGTGTTTCTACCAGGGCCTTTAGTCGCCCGCGTGGAGCAGTTGTTAGAGCGTCTGCTCTAGAGTCGCGATGTAAGGAGTTGATCCTTACGTCGCGGGTTCGAATCCCACTGCGGGACGTGGACACCACACTTCGGAAGAGACCGTATAAACCGACACCTCACTGCTCAATGGCCCTGAATGCCGATTATAGGTCAAAATTTGTTGCCCTATCCCGGCAAATGGTGGCGTCTCAACATGAGTGAAAAATTCTCGAGAGGGACTTTAAACAACAAACAAACAAACAAAAACCAGGGCCTTAAGACTTTTCTGCAAGGATTGTAGATTGTTCACGTTCAATGTCTTGAATATGTGTTCGGGTATTGCTGTGACATCGGGACCGGTGTCAACTTTGAATTCATCTGAATGTCCATAACTTGGATGGTTGTCAATCATGGTTTGCAGTTACCGGAATTGGCACTTCCATGTATTCCAAGAATTCTTCATTTTCATCCGTTTCTATGGCGATTTTATGCAGACTTTGACATTTTCGAGCAGAGTGTCCAATTTTATGGCATTTGTTCCATTTCTGGTTTCTAGCTGGACATCCACCCCTACCAAGGGCTCGCAAATAACCACATCTGTGACATGATGATGATGCGCCTTTGTTATTGTGTCCACCGAACGGTTTTAAAATTCTTTCTTGCCAGGCTTTCCAGAATGAGCATGTTGAAAATGTTTCTCTCTTACTTCCTATTTCTTGGAATTAGTTACAGAATCTATACTTGATGTTCCTCCAGAGGAAGAGCTAGGTAAATTGTGCACAATAGCTTGTTGTTTTTGGACAGCTTCTTTTTGACGTGCTTTGTTAACAGCTTCTTCAAGTTTTAGTTGTGGAATTAGCTGAAGCTCTTCTGATAGTTTGCTATCTCTTATACCTACAACTATTCTGTCTCCAATCATCTCGTCTTTTAGTGCTCCATACTCACAGTGTTTAACTAAAGTAATAGTGCTGTTATAAAACTGCTGCGGACTCAACCTGTTGTTTTCTTTGATTAAATTTGGCTTTTTCGGAGCTGGCATTTCTGCAAGACACGAAATGTGTCTGGAATTTGTTACTTACTGTATCATACTTCTTTACATCATCTTTCCCCAATCCAAATGAGTGAAAAATATCCTCCGCCTGTTTTCCATGGCGTAAATGAGGGTGTTAATCTGAATTGTCTCATCTTCCCTATTTAAGCCCGACACTATTCTAAACCTTTTAAACCCTTTTATCCATTTCGGCCACTCTCCGGGTTTTGTGAAGGTTGAGCCTGGTACGACGCCATCATAAACAAAGAGTCGAAAAACACTAGGCGGATAATGTCCGGAAACACTGGATGTATTTGTGCACGCGAACTATGCACTGACTCCGCAGAACTGCTGATACTTCTTGCCAGAAAAAACACATTGAAATCCCACTTTTGACACCATGTTATGTTTTGGGTTCATCATAATAACGAGGACTTCAAATTCGAACCATACCGTTTTATTCCCGTGAGGTCACAACCTTATATTAGATCGTACATAAAATATTTCCTAAACTCTCAGATGTACATTATCATATTACAGATTATTCTACAAATGACATGAATATTAAAAAAAATAATTGATATGATCTGCTTAAGAATTCGATTCTGCAAAAAATAAATTAATAAATACATAAATAAGTAAAGGATCATAATAAATTAAATGCTTAACGTGAATGAAGTTTTCTAATTCTTAATAAATGGCGAAACTATCTTTCAACATGTTTGACATAAAGGGGATGCATGGTGGAGTGGTGCTTGAAACGAAACAAATGCTCTTTCCGTAATACACGTGTATGACCTGTTTTGATGCAATTAAAAAATGGACAATTTTTTAGAATCAATTACCACATCTCTTAAGTAATGATTTGAGTTCTTCTCTCCTTCCTTTTCTTTTTCTACAGAGGGTATTTACTTCGGCGTCTGGAAACAAATAAGTATTCATTATTTGAGTTCAAACTATGTGTATTACCTATTGTATTGAGCAGGCATACTGTTTGATAAAAGAATCAGTGAAAATTTCTTGACTTTTAAACAATTCTTTTTCAAAATTCATGGAATTTGAAGAACTTAAAAAGTAATATCCACTGATTTAAAAAAAAAGCAAATTTATGGAAAAAGATCTAGAGCAGTTAGTCAAATTTGCTGAATTTTTTTAAATTTCAATTGTAGAAATTAAAAAAAATCATATGGAATAAACAATTCAGCAGTCAGGTTTAAAGACTTATTACATTGTAAACTTTAAAGAAAATAAACTCTTAATAATATCGTATTTTGCTTTTATTCTTTGACGGCAAGACTTTTCAACTAAATCTATCTGATGTTAATGTCGTTGGGAAAAAGAAATTGAATTTTCTTATATTACACAAAATTAATACTATGTTTGAGAAGCAGAAAACATTTATGATCGGTGGACATTCATACAATTCACGGTTTATGGTTTTACCCTGTTTTTCCTTTAATTTAATCTCAGCAGTAACATCATCTACGGAAGCCTTGTACGTTGTGAAGTCGCAAGCTTCCATACTATTTATAATGAGTATGTTTTTCCTGCTGCCGCTGTACTTGTCATGACTTAAGTCAATTTTTTCTGTTTTCTTTGAATAAGGGTTGACCCTAGACCACTTTACTTCTTTATGTCTTTTGGGAACTTCGGCACATAGTACAGCTCTCCCACCAAGTTCTACAAACTCTGCACCGTCTATTTTCATGTCTTTGCACTCTTAAAAAAAATAATGAAAATCCTTAAATTGACCCTTGTATAATAAAGAAGTTTCACATTATCACAGATAATGTCATCACGAAGAGATTTCTGTAAAAGATTTAGATTCCGTCGGAGTCTACGAAAATGCGCTCAAAACTTTAAAGTTGCAAAATAAGCTGTAATTGATAAGAAGTGGAACCATTTTATTCATGAAAAAAGAAGTGAGCTACAGGGTGTAGAGTTGATATAGATTACGAGGGTCGTTCAATAAATAATGCAACATAAAGTTTATCATAACAAATGTAGAAGTACTTAAGTTTATTTCTGAACAGTTGAAAACTTCTATTAAAGAACTCATAATCACAGAAATTACCATGCTTTATTCCTACTGTTGTCGCGGTCTTTTAGTCACTTCTAAAGTAAGCATGGTCACTACACTTTAGCTGAAAACTGTTTAAAAAAAATATCTCTACCAAGAAGATGAAAATGAGGGTGTGTGTGAACACTTTGCTTCAATACATAAATAGCTGAATAACCCATATTGGAGATGTGATTTTGTTTTGTGGATTGAGTAGTCTTTCACGCTGTATAGTTTTCAGATGGATTCGGAAATTTAAAAGAAAAAAAGTACAATTTAAAGACCGCAGTCAAAATGGTCGATCGAAATCTGTAGGGGTACCAAAAATATGAATACTGTGAGCAACATGATATCTGAAAATGCCAAATTTCCATTGATAGACTTTAATTTGCTATAACACAAAACGTAGTATTTTTTCTGCACCTAAAACGTTGCTGCAAATAAGCATAGAGAAATAAATAAAATTTTGAAGAAAGAAAAGTTTACAGAGCTAAGGCACCCCCCATATTACCTAGATCTCAGTCATTGTGATATCTTTTTCTTCCAAGAACATATACGCTATTCATCAGTGTCTTTAGGGCATCCCTAAGGATGAGTGTGCTAAGGTTTTCTGGTCATGGGTACAAAGACTTTAGACATGTGCAAATGTTATTAGGAAATCCTTTGAGGGATTAAAAATATTAAGAATCTGCTTTACATGCTTTTCCTATTTTTAGATGACCTTTTGCATTATTTATTATTGAACGACCCTCGTGTTAAATGAGGAAATGGTCAAGTGTGTCTGAGCGATACATTAATTGAAAAGTGTTTTTAATCAGTCATTTATGTTCAGCAAAAATGAATGGATTTTTTTATGAAGGAAATCTTTTAAATTTGTTTTTTTTTTAAGTTCTACAGAAATTTTGCAGATTACATTCAAGACACAATTTTGATTGAATAACTATCTTTGAAGAAAGGCTTATTACATTTTTGAATTAAACCAAGTCATTAAATGTTTAATTGAACAGACCTATGTTTCTGGAGTAAGCATGGATCATATTTTAAGATTGCTGGCTTTGGTAGATGAATGAAATACACAAGAGATAAACATCTCGCTTCAAAAGTGTTGTAGTACCAATATTGGCGTTAAGGATTTAAGTACTGTACATCCCACAAAATTAGTATATTCCATATATAATATCGAAAAACCATTACCTCGTGTGTTCAATTTTCCTTTCAAAAAGGGATTGACAATCTTTCTCGAAATTAGCTTTTACTTTATTCATTTGAAGGATATAAAGGAGATAATTGTATCGTTTTTACTGGCAATGTAAATAACAAACTTTAGTGATCATTGTTTAACACAGTTGACTCCCTCCATCTGGCGGTAACAATGGTGAAATTTCAAAGAGAAAAAATATTACAATTGTTACTTTAAAACTATTGCTAAAATATTCACTTTGCATGTTGACCTCAAAATTGCAGCACAGAAACAATAAATATAATCTGTTACCCTCGAACCGTGGCTTATTAGATTTAACTATCGGAGCAAGTATATTAATAATTTTATAATAATTATTTATTACAATATAACAGTGATATACTGTAATTTATTGAATAAATGTAATATTTTGTCACAGAGTGAAAGAATATCAGAGAGTTGTTTTGTCATAGTGCTCAGGAATATGAGAATATCAAAAGTCGAGAATTTCCTTCGAATTCTCTTCATGAAGATTTTAAAATACTCCCCGGCCGTTATGAGATAGTAAAAGTTAATCAAATATGTTGTCAATGTTGAAATTCAGTGTGTTTGCCTAGCTATGACGTCTCAAACGTCAAAGCCAAAAGAACAATCAAAGAAAATGTAATAAACAGAACATTCAATATTTTGTGGTTGAATATGGAAAACATTTCACTCGATTTTTTTTATATTATCACTCGTGCTTCGTACTCCTGAATATATTAAAATGCCCTGCAAATTCTGTATCCAACTTCAAAACATTGAATATTCCCTATCTAATCAACAATATAACAAGTTTTACAAACTAATTAGGAGAATTTGTGTCCCCCAATTAAGGAATAAAAAGAAGAGCAAATGCAGATCCCCCGGATTAAATGTATATAGTGAAACAAAAATGCCATTATGGATATATAGATTTGATTGCTTATTCTTTTAAGTATATATAGAAGATTCTTTTTATATAAAATATTAATCACACCGTAATAAATTTTATGAGAAGGTTTGTACACGTCATAACTTCTTCATTTCATTACAAAAGCTAAACGGCTTCTCGAGATATTGCGTGGAAATGAAAATGGTACAGACAGACAGAAATACAGACGAACGGACGAACAGACAGCTATACACACGAGAAATACATTGGACAGACGGACTCAAATAAATGTCTTTATTTTCAGTGAAAGTGCGGAACAAAATATAGCTGTTCTCTCTGTTTACATTTCTATGGTCCATAGGTAACTTATAGAAAAATTGCGTATAGAACCTAATATTCGATTCAAAATATTAGAATTAGTTTACACACTAGATATTTTTGTATCGCCTGCAGAGCAGAGCGACACTTAGGGATCACATTACCTGGCGCCTGTCTGTCTGTCCGTCCGTTTGTCGCACCCTATTTCTCGAGAACTGTAAGTGGTATGGATATGATATTTCGCACATATATCGCTTGACACAATGGCTTTTGTAAATTACCATGGTTACCGACCCCGTAACCCTTGACCTACTTTTCAAAATAATTTATAGTGCCGATATGCAGAATATTTTTAAGAAGTAATTCTATGCTATTTAGCATGTGCACTGTTTGCCAAAGACATTGTAAAAAATACCAGCATTAAAATCAACTTGACCCTGACCTTTGACATACTTTGCCAAAAATACCCCTTGCAGTTTAATTCAACTTATGACTTTTTGAAATTTTTGGGGCAGGATTTTGATAATTAGCATTTATACATGTGTATGTGCTTATGTTACTGTACATTGAAAATATATGATATCCAGCTACCACACAACTTATATTTAAATACTTTAAAAATACAACGGATTGTGTAGACTGACAATTGCAGCAAAGACAGACTGAAATCTCTTTTGGAGGATTGTTGGAAACACGTACTAATAAAATAAACTGTATAGTATATCAGAAGGTTGTGATTGAGTGATTATGCGCATATCATTTGTTTTTCCATTAAGCTAATTTCATATGACTGAAAAAATTCTCGAGAGGGACGTTAAACAATAAACAAACAAACATTTCATTTGAAAGAATGATTGTTTAATACTTACTATAATGTTGCCTCACAAAAATGATAACAGCTAATATACAAATGCAGATCAAAACTGCGACTGCAAACAGGTTTTCAGTCTCATAATTATAGTTAAAATATGAAATATTTTTCGTTGAAACTGTGCAATTGTATTTTGTTTGATGTTGAAACGTCCTAGAAAGAAGAAAATAAAAAAGACAAAATTTGAAATCAGAAACAGGTTCAAACACAATGGGAAAGTCAACTCAATTACAGAATGTGTTCGAGGTAATTTTTTAAATACTTTTTTTTAATTAAAGTGTTAAAGAGAATTTCGTAGAAAAATTTTTTCATCATAATTAAATCTTTTCAAATAATTAAAGACTTAAAACCGTATAATATAAACATTTGGCCCCGGGGATGACATATTCCGGACTTTTTACTTTCATATTTAATTGGATTGTAACTGGGTAATCATTATTTGATTATATTCTCAAATAAGTGTAATATCATATAAAGAGATACATGTGTTTTATAGAACTTTTTGCCTCTTTATCTTAGCAATATAACCCCCACCCACCTTGCACATATGCTCATTCATGTTTAGCAGACAATCAGCGACCATCAATGATTTGAAAATTTTAATTTTTTATTTCATGAAACAAAAGGATATTTGAAATATAAACGCCAATTTGAAAGCAGACCTATCTTGAAACCGACATCTTTTCTCGGCAAGAAAACATTTGTTTTGAAAGTCGATCTGAAGACACACTGGATCTGAAATGTAAAATAAAGATAGGTTAAGGCAAAAAATAATATATGCTTTGAATATTCTTGGAAAGCTAAAGACGTTTTATCACTCTTTAACCAATTTGAAAATAAAACTTAAAAGTATCTTACATTTGAATATCTTATCGCTATCAAAATGTGTTGCAGGGCATCCATACTCAAAATGTGTACAGTTTATTCCATCAATTCTCGTCGATATGGTGTCTAAAGTCACACAGTTTCCTGGAACGAGATGTGAAAATAATTTTCAACAGCAACAAAGTTTGCTCTTTTTTCAAATCAGCACTATTTCTGTTCGGCAGTACTCTGTGAAATATTATCTGTGCAACAAAAAGTTGATGCGCGTCCCACTGTGCTTTTAGATGACATTTAAAGAAATAGTTATGAAGTTAAAATAATATCTGGGGTATAGTGAGAAATTAAGATTTATTATTGGTTGTGCTAAAAAGGACGTATGGCTCATTTACTTTCATCACAAAGATGGAATAAGATTAGATAAAGGACATTATATTTGCGTAAAACGTATTTAAGACTTAAAATAGTGGAATGACCTGACAACACTTGGAATGGACTAGCCAAACCAAAGAGTATATAAGGCAAAGCTTTAGAAAAGTCAGACATTCAG